AGAGGCAATCGAACTCGGGTAATGCTTGCTATCATTCAGTCTAGAACCTTTTGTCTTCTCGTCTGCTATCCAAAAACTTAAAAATCAGAACATACAAAACTATAATTTTGCCTGTGGTTCTGTATGGGTGTGTAACTTGGTCTCTGACACTAAGGGAGGAACATAGACTAAGGGTGTTTGAGAACAGGATGTTGAGACTATTCGGACCAGAGAGAGATGAAGTGACAGGAGGTTGGAGAAAACTGCATAATGTGGAGCTTCATAACTTGTGCTCTTCTCCAAGTATAATTGGAATGATAAAGTCAAGGAGGGTGAGGTGGGCAGGCCATGTAGCACGAATGGGGGGGGGACGAGGAATGCGTATAGGATATGGTTGGGAAAGCCAGAAGAAAAGAGACCACAGGGAAGGTACAATATTAAGATGGAACTTAGATAGCATAGGGACCAGGGGAGGGCTCTTGTGAACACGGTAATGAACCTTCGGGTTCCTTAAAATGTTGGGAAATTCTTGAGTAGCTGCAGAATTGGCGGCTCCTGCAGAAGGGCTCAGATCCATGAGTAAGTAAGTAAGTATTATAGCGGCCTCCGTAGTCTAGAGGTAACGTTCCCACCTCATGGCTCGTAGTACGCGGGTTCAAATACCCGGCGGAGGTAGTCGAATTTTTAAGGGCGGAAAAATTCAAGGAACAAGTCCTCCGGGAGGGACTTTAAGCCGTGGGTCCCGTGTCGTAGCTTTACGGCACGTAAAAGAATCTCATATCTCCAAAGGAGGTCACTGAGCCAAATTTACGGGCGTTTCCCGCCCAACAGCAGTCTCTAATACCTCTGGTAGATGGGGGAAGCATTATAGATACCTCTCAGCTAGTAGAGCCGGTCTCGCTGGCTGGGCGGGACTGATGGTAAGCACCAGTATCGGTAGGATATAGAGACTGGTAGAAATCATAGAGGGAAGCACAATGGACCAATACAGTCCAATACAATAAAGTGCATGGGGAAACCCACCCTCTCCAATAACTAACTAAGTAAATATTATTAAAGGTGAAAGTAGAAGATTTATCTCATAAATATGCAGTTGCAGGCAGTAATAATTTAAAAAAATGATATGGGAATAAGCAATTTCATTATTGTAGCATATTTCAGGACGCGTGAACCTTCACGTGTTTTCAAAGAAAGTTACCTCTGGACACGGCGAAGTTCAAAATGCAGTGAGTATCAAAATTATGGAAGTTTCAGAGTTACTGACTGAAAGATATTCCTTTTCATACGAAGCGTGATAATAACAACACACTAAACTTAACATTCGGATTTCTGAAATGTAGGTAGGATCATTCTGCTTTCACACTGACTTTACCAGCAAACTAATCGTGAAGACGAGATAAAGGAGTGTCAGATGTCAACAGAACAAAAACTATAATAGAAACATTAACAAAAATTACATCAACATACTGAAACACATGGCAAAGAGCATAACTGGTATTTTCTTTATGCGAATAAAGAGCTGCAAGGCTGCTGAATACTTCGATATTAAACAGTAAAAATAAAGACGCTGAGGTTACACAGGAAGTCAGAAGAAGTGAGAAGTTAGTTACTTCGCCTACCATTTTTAACAAATCCATTGTCATTGTATTTAACTCTCACAACATTTATTCGCCAAGATTTTCCGTTTAGAAACCAATGTGGGATTTACTTTTAGCTTACCTTATCGGAAGTACTAATCAAAATGCACTGCTGTCACATACTTTATCTTGGACAGCGAATGCAGGAGGAAGTAGGAGACACCGAAAGATAAAGTTAGAGACGTATTTTTGTTTTGCATTCAGTTTTCTATTGTATTTCAGCTATGCATTCCTCTCATTATGTAAATTAGTATTAGATTCAAATTTCTGGCAAGGAAATGGGACATTCTTACATTATTGATTTAATAATAATAATTATTATTATTATTATTATTATTATTATTATAATTATTGAAAAAATTAGGGAATTATGGAATATGTGCTGAAACCTGTTTTAGTGTTCAATATTGGTGCCTCATATTCTACATATCCGGAGTTCGAACCCAAAGAAAAGCTATCATATACAGTTATGTGGTTCCTCCGATTACTACCTCTTTCCTGAACTTCGGATCCCATAGTTGCCCCCAAGTCAATTTAATTTATGAAACACGACACGAGAAATTTAGGCTGGCAGATCCTAATGATTAACAGCAATGCATTTCTGCTGAAGTGATTTCTTTTCCCATTCTCAGCTTGTTTTGGAGGTAGAGAAGCCATCATACTGTGCTCTAGAAGTAGGGGCGATGTTGCCGTCGGAGGGCCATGGCTGCTCCTTCGGGAAGGCATGGGGGAGAAGGGGCTCCCGAACTCGTTCTGGAGTAACCCACACAGGACAAGAGGGAGGGCCGTGGCTTCTCCCATACGGATCAAGGTGGCGTTCGTAGATCCGCGTCGAGAAGGAGCTGGTCCGGCTTGTAAATCGGCAGTGCTGCCCCCGGTGGCGGTACTGCTGTTGTTCGCTAGCAGGCCGGCTACTCGTGTGGGAGGGTAAAGGAAATTAGACAAGTGTTTTCAAAATATGACGCAGCTGAGTTGTGTTCAGTATTGGTTCAAATCTGTGATCAAACGCTGAAAAGTCAAGTTTAAGAATTCCAGAAGAGAATTAAACATCACGTAAATTTTAATCATGGTAATTCCTTCCGACAGTTTTTACAGTTATTATATATTATACCTTATAAACATCAAAATATTTTAGGGTCAGAATTGTTCAGGAAATGAGCATGTTGCATCACCTGTTGGGATTGAGGTTGTAGTCAAAATTATTCACTAGATAACCAGTCCAAATATTATTAATATTTCATCTTGTGTAAGTATACAAAAATTATTGCAGTTGATCCGAATTTTCGGTCTTTTCCAGAAGTAAGCCGCTTATTACTCGAACATTTCATTACTTATCTGTGTCCCAGTTACGACTAATCTATTCCCTGTGTGCCTCCTTTTCTAGATGCTCACAGTATTTCACAACTCATATTTCTCTTTGTGAAAAAGTATTGTGACATGTCGAGGCCCCCACATTTTATAGACAATCGGCTCATAGATGGCTGTGAGGTTGTCAGGGTTCGATTCCCAATGAGGTCACTGGATTTTTCAATTAGCCCAATCCTTCTAGCCGCACTATGACCCTGAGGTCAACTCAGCCTCTAACAGAAATGAGTACAAGCAATCTTCCGGGGGGTTAAGGGCGGCCGGTCAAAGAGTAAGGCTGACAACCTTGCCGCCATCTGTGAGCCGATGTCTAGAAAATGTGGAAGCTTCGACGTCTCACAACTGTATGGATCTCCACGGCCTCTTTCTCTTTTCTCCGTATTAGGAAACCGAGATGACAGAAGAGCGACGACAAAACAGATTTATCTCCTTGCCCTTCATATAAATTACTTCAAAATATATCATTGTGCTTACATAAAAACAACGTATTTTCCTTTCAAAACCGTACCTAAAAACAGAAGAGGACTGGCGTATGCAAGCCTATTGAGGACAATGGAGCGTACTTCCGAATACACTTCGTGAACACTCACGTTTATTTTTAGTGACAGAAAGTGCAATATTTTCTATTTGGTTATGGTTTTAAATGGATCGCCCCTGGACGCTAACTCCTGACTATCTCATTGGTTTTTACGCGTCTCCTACTCGCAGTCTAATCCTAAATCTAAAGCTCTTCTAAATAATCTTTCTTTTTTATTAAAATTATGACAGCTGACGACAGATAGACTACTGGTGGCAGGCTTACCCTAGTACCACATGAGAACAGCGCACTAAGTTTTCACAATCTCAGGCATTATCAATAGATTTTACTGTACAGAGATATATTTTAATACTCCTGCCAACCTGATGTTCAGATTTGCATTCAATATGAATTAAGTGCTAATAATAACTTTCTCAGATTTTATTCTTCAAAAGCATCACAGAGCGGTGAATATGCTGAGTAGTATTCTGGTTTTTGACTGGACTTTATCTTACATTTACTGGATTTGAAACAAACTCGCCTATGAAAACAAAAGACATTAAACAACTGATGACCTGGACTTGTATTAAGGGCTGTACATTTCGCATAAACACCCAGCGTCACAATATGAAATCTGAAATATCAAAAACATGTTAATTAAAATTTCACTTGCGTATCAACTATGGTGTAAATACAATTCATAAAAATCTTAAACTGATGAAAATAAGAAATTTGTGACCGAATTCAACTCTTACTTTAATAAACATTTTTGTCTACGATTACATTCCTATTTGCATAATGAAAGATAACTGACCGTCCGATCTGGTAATTCAGGCCCTTAAAATTTACGACGAAATTTTTCAAAATGGCACCTCTTCAACTATGAGAACTCTTTTGCTACGTTTCATAAAACTGTCTTATTAATTATGAATCTCTGTCCTATAGCCGAGCTGAAATCATTTTTTCGAAAAAGTTCTATTGGATTTAAGTATCATATTATCATCTAATTTCTCGCGCAGACCGAAATCTTAATTTAGTATAATCTTCACATTTCCACAAAATATTGTGACAAGTAATAAATTCGTTTTCCAGAAAAATGAAGTTTAATTAAAAAACATATATAATAAACGTGTCCGACGGCCGGTTTTGGATGCTGCTGACAAAGTTAAACAATTAACTATCTGCGATATCCTTTGGGAAGGGTGAATAGCAGAAATTGAAAAGAAGTAATCTGTCTTCTTCAACCATCTTTCACACTGGTATATAATTTCTAGGCAATAATATGAAAATAAAAACTTGTATTCATTCTGATATTATATTGAAGAAACTTAAAAAGAACTATATTAGATTGGGTACTACACACACCTATTAACCATGCTAAATGTTATATTGAGAATCCAAAAATAAAAATTTCACAACAGACGATGCCGGAACCACACAACCAACAATCACCCATGCCACTAATGATTCTTAAATCGAATGTTCGTCTGCAGTGAACTTACCATCCGAGTTTTTCTTGGAGATCGCTGTCTCTGTGACCGAGTCCTCACTATGACTCGCGTTCAGCGGTCTGTGACTGTTAGCGCCACCTGCGTTACACCAGCGTATGAACAGTGGCGTGCAGAATCAGACTAGTATCAGTGGCGTGCAGCGTATAAGCTTGTTGTGTCTCTTTTCAAGAAATTATTCTAACTATGACATCCATACCAGTAGCATTCACCTAAGAGTTGGTGTTCTCTGGTTTCAAAATGACGGCCAGAAAACTTTACTGTTGTGGCTCATTTAAAATTGTTTTAAACCAACTCACCGGACGAAGTCAATTATGATAATGTAGTGTATCAGAACAGGCTGGTAATGTTTCGCCACAAAACAATCTAAAATTTGTAGTATAGTATTTATACTTAAAATTTCTTTTATATTTTTTAATCTTAAAGTTGCATAAAACTTTAAATTGATATTGAATTATATATAAATAGCAGAAATGTTTATATCGATATCGAATAGAAGTTTAGAGAGTGCTGAAATACCAAATACAATTAAACTCTAACATTGCATATTTTCTTCATTGCTATTACAGTTGTGTTCTACTAAAATATAAATTAGAATATGTAGGTTACTTGAAGGTTACTTTATCAGATTCAAATTAATAAGAGTAATGTTATGCTACCAAGAAATTACGCGATATATCGAATGATGAATTGATGTCATGTAATTTCGACAGCATACTGTCCTACTGCTCTATACATTCACTTCCATCTTTGATGCAACTCTGTTAATAATCTCTCCTTAATTTTAAATAACATTAAAATCACAATAGATTGCTACATGTTTCGGCCTTACTTGACCATTCTCAGTGGAAACATACGTTGTAGGGGGCACATAGTAATAACAACAATAACAACACCATTCCGATATTCACAGTGATAAATAAAACAACAACAAAAAACACGGACGCCGCAAGAAGGAAATAGTACGGAAAATGAAAAAGCGTTAGGTTCTCAAAGATATGTATTTTAGTGTGAACGACGGAAATTCAATAGCGTCGAAATATTTGACTCAAGAACTACTGTAGTGTGGCGGTTTCGAAAAATAAACATTTGCCTGAGGATGACCAAGTAAGGCCGAAACATGTTAGCAGTTGATTGTGATTTTAATGTTATTTAAATGAAGGAGAGATTGTGGACAGCGTTGCATTAAAGACGGAAGTGAATGTGCAGAGTGATACATCAATGCAACAGGGTGCTGAAATACAATATTACTATCGTACTGATACTAAGTAACATACTCAAGAATTCTGTTATTATTGTATGTAAATATGTTTCTTATTTTAAAAGGCAACACAAACATATTTTAACACGTTACTGAATTAATGTCATTTAACACTAAATATAATTCCGAATATGTCATGGATTTAGTATAGTAAAATATTTTATAATGGCGTTTATATTCCTCGTGCCAAAAATATGCTTAATTTAAGGTTAGAGATAAGAGATTCTTTTAATGTAATAATATTACGCCTGTGAGATCCATTGTTGCCTTATTATTTACGAAATATTATCACACATCTGAAAGTTTTGTCATGAATAGGTTTAGATATTTTTTTATTCTCCAGTTGTGTGTCTTTTTTATTGCTAGTGGGGTGGGACTAAGTCCCTTGTACTGCGGCCACTTCTGGCCTATTGTACCAGCCCCAGATGATAGGTGAGGGTGATTGTGGAGCAATTGGTGGAATGAAGATTGGCACGGGAAACCGAAGTACTCGGAGAAAACCTGCCCCAGCGCCACTTTGTCCAGCAAAAATCCCACTTGACCAGACCCCGGGATCGAACCCGGACCGCCGCAGTGGGAAGCCAGCGACTAACCGCTTGAACTACGGCGCGGCCCTCCAGTTATGTGTTAGTGTCGTTACATTTGTAGTATCACCGTTAAGTTGTAGGGGACTATATCACCATATAAGACAGAAGAATACAAATAGGCGTGAATATAGTAACGTGGTTCATTTCAGCGGATTGTGTAATTATGAATCGCGGCTTATGACATAACAGCAACAAACTCAATTACATTAAATAAATACCTTACACTTTTATAAATTATCATTTATATTTTAATTCTGTGTTTCAATGGAGAGCTAAAATATATCTGATCATATTACTGCATTTTACACGTACATCGAAACTAGAGGGTCTCGATACCAACAGCGTAGCTGTGTGTGTGTGTGTGTGTGTGTGTGTGTGTATGTATGTATGTATTTATATAATATGTTATCAGTTCCAAAACAATGTTCCATGTAACGTCCACATTCTTCGTGGGGACATACATGGTACGGTGTATATGTTTCTCTAATTCCGGATTTCAGTTCAAGAAATTCATTCTGTATTAACATCAGAAACCTGAAAAGCATCCTGTCGAAATTCTATCTTTTAATGTGACATTATGAATCAAGAGTGTGATTCAAGAATTTTCAATGCTTGATTGTTTATAGATCACAATATGTAAACAAATAGACACCGCCTCGAAGAGTTCTGTATTTCGTATCTCCGGTAACTGTCTGCCTAAGCATGCATTTCCACGGAAAAACCTCCAGTTCCGCAGTAACCTCTATGCCTAGTCGAGTGTTTCCATGGAAATGCATATACAATATAATAGTCCCATGGAAAACCGTTGTCATGGGAACATGCTCTGTTAATACTCATTGCCTAGGAAATAAACTTTGACCTGACTCAACTATTCTTGCTTTCAGGCGTCACGTCACATTGCTCTCTCCTTAGGCTGTTGCCTGGAACAACCTAACAGTGTATCACCTTTCTTTCTTTTCTAGGCCTGTACTTGCAACGTCTGCAGTCGTTCTCGCCGTCCTATCTGTGACTCTTCTTCTTCTTGTGCTGTTCGTTATCTTTTCTTAAGATATTCGTTCTACCACCGCTCCTGCTTTAAATGCGTTCGTCCCGAGCGGCACTCTGATAAGATTACGGTCTGTCCAGATGCATCATCATCATCATCATCATCATCATCATCATCATCATCTTCGTCAAAAGTTTTTTTCCTTTTCAAATGGTGGTGCTTATGTTACTGGTCCTGCTCCGCGTGCAGTTTCTTTTTCTGTTAGTTCCTCGGAAATCTTGGCTGAGGGACACAGGACACGCTTATGGTTCTTACGATGCCATTAACAAAACTATTTTTATTTTTCTCCATTATGTATTTCGATCCAATTTGTGGGCAAACTTCACGTGGTTTAAACACTTAACCATTAATCATCTGAAATGTCAGGCCATGACATTGTAATAGAACACGGGCCCCTTGTTCACAACCATTATCAACTGTATATCTATCGTGAGGTCAAATATTTGAAGACAAAGTACAAATGTGATAATTAATTTAAATGTAATGTACTGTGCTAGAATATGAGAAAGATGTATGTGTGTATTCTGTTTGAGATCCTCTTTAGTTGGGTTAAAACTGTTATTAAAGTTATAGTACACTTCAGTCCTCAGGTGAAAATTTCCTTTTCCGTTTGTATCGATAAAGCAGCGTTCGGATTCGATTTTAAGATATTCTTCCTCAGTTTTCTGAAAATATATGTTGAAAATTGTTATTACAGCATTGTTATCTATTATTTTTCAGTTCTCCTCCATATCTATATATGTTCATGTCCCATCACTCTGTAGCCTTCGACTGCTGTGAGGAAAAACACTTCTGCGTCTCTAATATTGTTTTATTGTTTTGGTAACGTTCAACATTCAGACCAATATAAAGACATAGGAATAGCTATCACTCCATAGACTGGGTTTGTTATGGGCATTTTCCTGCAGTAGACGTTTTACATTTCAACAGAAATTTATAAATATATTTATTTCTATAATAATATTGTAGCGTATTTGATGAACGCGTTGCCAGGCAACAACACTTTAAACACAATACGCGCCCGCAATAATAGNGCGCGTAGAGCATATACGCTACAATAGCATTGATTTTTTAGAAACTACACTGCTGGTTAAATTGAAATTTAATACTTTTGTTGAAAGTTGTTTTACAGTATTTTCAATTGAATTCATATAAATTCAGAGATCTATATCAATAATAGGAATAAATTACATACAATACATACAGTAACTCAATATTTGCATAAATTTAAAATTATTTCCAGATGTATAACATGTGGAAATTTAACGTGAAAGTGCTAAGGAATTGAGTGATAATTTCTCTCAAAACCATCGGTTATCCGCAACGGTTACTATTTCCTGTGGCGAAACACTTCAAGCGAATTTCCATGGCCTCCAGGTTTATTCCAATGAAATATAACCGTGGTAAAGAACACTTATATGCCTTTGAATTAATACACCGGACTTTGCAGCGTGCCCCTTTCAATCGATTGTACCTCCCCTTGCGGCAATTCGATAAGGCGTGTCAGTGCAATGATGAAAGAACATCATACCGACCATAAAATACAATTCAGATTGACAGAGAGTCAAACATACGATGAAATGAAAATAAGAAATATTTCAATTCGCCCTGAATTTGTGACATAAAGTTAAGACTTATAGCTGAAGTAAATGCCAATGAAGCTCACATGCCATTAATGGGTGGACATGTAGCAGTGTATTGTGGTAAAGTGCATCATGGGTACTGATTCACTGACCTTCCGCTCAGAGGTCGTTGAAATATTTATGAAAATTCATACACCTCTCTTCCGACGCTCATGAGAAAAGGCAGAGTTCAAGATAATTAGATTACAAAATGAAATAAATTCAAGTAAAGTTCGTACTGAAAATTCACTTCAAAGTAAACATAAACTTACCGGACATTGCATCCTGTTTCGTCACTTCCTGTTGTGTAATATCCAGCACAAATCAATTATGTCTTGTAAATCGAAGCTTTATACACCGGAAGATTTAAACTGGCCCTTGGTTTTATCAATAAAATGTTGCGAGTAGTTGAAACTGCCTTCTTCAAGGTGTCTTGTACCAGGAGAGGCAAAGTAATGAAGACTTTTTAAGCTTCCACATTATGTTACATTTCATTTACAACAATAAAAGTATTAGCAGTAATTTGACTGTAAAATTAAAAGCTCATTATATTATGCGGTTATTTCAGAGTATAAAATTGCACGTACGAGTGCTCTATATATGCAGCTGTCTGGGAAGCTAACACTGTGTAGATATGTCTCACGATATCTGTGCGGTTGGATAACACCAACTCGGGGGGGGGGGGCAGGTCCACTCTGCGTTATCCTACCCCTAAGGAACATGTACACATGATATTGTCCGATGTAATATAACAGCATTTAGCAGCTGTAGTAGACAGGTGAAATTCTATATACGTCTCCAATTAATGGTTATCAACCACACAGATATTATGCTAATGATCTCAAGTTTTAAAACAGCGTTTCTGAACTTCTTCGACCGTCACCATCAGAGTGAAACTTCACTCGCCGTCTTATGAATGACAATTTAATTTTTATCTCAGTTTACCTGATGTCATGCGGAAAAACATAAGATATAGCACTTCTTTTATTATAACAAATTTAATTCATTTCACGCGCAGTAAAAGTTACAAAAAGAGAGCCAAGAAGCTTTTTAAGTCCGTCGTTCTGTGTCTGACAATGTGTTAAATATAAGCCACGTACCCTCTTACGACGTTTTACATATCTGCTAGTGCGTGTACCCCTGGTTCAGAATTGCTGTCTTAAATTACTGCGTCGCTGCAACACGCAGGTTGAGAATTGTGCAGCCTCCAAATATGTGTAATTACAAAGTGTATTTTTACACCCAAGATTTATATCACTCCTAAATTAAGCATCTAAGATGCGTACTTTTGCAAATACGTTACACTTTAAGCACCGAATTACACAAATAAGACAGAACAGAATGAAACATGAATCAGCTCATGCTGTGACCATTTAGGATTCAGAAAGCTCAATTCTGCGGGCTACGAAACTATTTGTAATCAATTGCACTTCCTGAATGCCGCAGAGCACTGATATGTCAGTCTACACAACAGCAATTTTCTGCCACTATTAATACATCAGTGTTACAAAGAAAGGAACGATAAAGAGAGGAAGGAGAAGAAAATAAAAGGAAGGACAAAAAACGGGGTCGAAAAATAACAATCAAAGTAGAAGTAAGTAGAATGAGAAGACGTTGAAACTGAAGAACTGTGGGATGAGGGAAATATAATGAAATGACAGGGGAAATGTCAATATGTTCACTTCTCTGGATAACAGGTGTTCAGCGTACGTACCACCTGATCTGAAATAAGTATGCTGCATTTTCCTCACAGAGTGTATTCATAAGTTTCCTACGATTCCAGTAGTGAATAAATACTGTTTCCCTATACATTATTAACTGCCTGATCTTTATAATGAGGCCACAGTACGTTTTCTGTGAGGTAGGGACTGAATTCTTAAATATTATTTACACGAAATTAATGCTTTAAAGGCTAACAATTTTCATGTCATTTCCATATCCTTATTGTCCAGGATACCATCCTCTATGCTTGGGTCTCAAGAGGATGCGATTGCGCAGTAGTGAACGCAAAGAAGAGCGAGGCTTACTTCACAGAGAGCTATGTCCTTCCTGCAGATGAACATAAAAATTATATTCAAACAGCGGGAGGCATTTTACTAAGAAGAAACTTCCGACACCCTGCTTCAAAAGATTATGCGATTTTTACTCTTCATAACAAACCACCATATATAATTAGGTTCGTTATCTATCAAGTCCTATTGTTCCCACTTGGAGCTTAGGGCATCCGTGACACGCTTCGATTCACTTGAGTTTCTTAATCTTAGACAGACGGTACGATTCCTTGGGCGGGGGATCAGCCCGGCGCAAGGCCTCTACCTACACATAAACACAGTATAAACGCAAATATCCATGCCTTGAATGGGATTCGAACCCACGATCCCAGTGTTCGAGCGGGCGAAGACATTTCATGACTTAGGCTGCGCGGTCACTGTGATCGGTGTTTGGTTCATTAGAGTGCTCACAAAAGACTGACCGGTCCTTGTCTTCAGCCAGACGAATCCAGCCCGTACCTCACACAGTTTTCTTTAATATCCATTTCAATATTTGTCTTCTACCTTAGCCTATACTCCTAACCGGTTTCTTCCCTTCAAGTCTTCCGACAATACTGTGTGTGCACTTGTCTCTCCCTACGTGCTACATTTCCAGTCCATAAACCAAATGATATCTTTCGAAGAGCTCAACTTACAAAGCTCCTCAAAACTTAATTTGTTCGTCCTCCTGGTACTGTTCCCTTCTCTTCGCTCCGAATGTGCTCCTCAGCACCCTTTTCTCAAGAATTTTGAACCTCTGTTCTTCCTTTAGAGTGAGAGATCAAGTTTCACACCAACACAACACAGCAAACAATGTTATATTCTCTTTATCTGCTGAGTTAAATTTGTTTGCAAAAGTATGCCTTTTGGGGGAGGGGGGACATGTCACTTTGCTGTGGTATGAAATACAGATTTTCCACTAACCTAAGTTCTCAGCTGATGCGTTGAGTTCTGCGAAGCCCCTTGGCCCTCCGCCGCTCCCACTGCCTCCCCCCGCAGACCCGCTGCCAGCACCTTTCGCGAGTGAAGGCGAGTGTAGCGACGTGCTCTTGTGTCTTCGGATTGTAGGCAAACGGGACACGAAGGACGCGTTGTGTTTGAAGCTAGAAGAGACACGACTGAATTCAACGTCAGGCACACTGTTCCTCCCGACTAGAGCACAGACATCCTCATGTATAAATTATAGCTACACCATAATAATGATTGACATTACGGTCAAGTTAGGTGACACTGGTGGCCATGAGACTGAGCCTCTACGGCCAGTCCATTTGCTGCGGTAAAATTCTTCAAGCGTTTTGATTATAAGGACAACGCGCCGCCTAGGGGAAAATATGAAATGTGAAACTATGAATAAACTTCGGGAAAAATTAATATGCTGCCTCATGTTTTACATTTATAGTTTTAATAAAATTTATGCCAAAATACGATGAAGTTGTTACGTGACTTATAATTACCTGCCCATTTACATCGTAGATTTCAGTGCTGAGGATGCTGGTATAGGCTTATATTGGAACATTCAAGCTATCACCTTTCCTTGTCTGTAGAAGTACTGATAAGACGTTGATTCTTAACCAAATTCGCTGATTTTATACAGGGACAAATTACTTTTCCCATGTATCTTATCAACCGTTTCACTTATCTCTTTTTGTAATGGGATATTGTGCACCGGGATAGCGCAATCGGTACAGCGACTGGCTACGGGCTGGACGACCGGTAGGGTCAAGAATTTTCTCCTCTTCACTTCCTCCAGACCGGTTCTGGGGTTCACCCAACCTCCTATCCAATAGGTACCGGGGGCGCTTTCCCCGGGGGTAGAGCGGCAGGGGCGTGCCGAGGTCAAGAAAATGTGGATCTATACACTCACTCCCCCATTCGCCTTTATGGTGTAGTGTTTATTTAGTTAAGCACAGGGACAAATTTACCTTGTACCAATAGGATACTGCGCATTACTATGCGTTTGAGCTATTTTTTGCGTAATGTATTGTTCTTTGAAATGTAATTTATAAACCGGCAACAAGTCGGCTAAATAAACTGCGAACAATGGCGTTATGAATTCTGCATTCTACATTATGCATTACACTAAGTCACGTTTTGTTAATCGCCGATAATTATATTAGCTTCGAACAATACTTCTAACGTTGAGCCCGAACCCAGGTTTAAAGTAATTTTTATTTAGGCAATGCGATGTCAAAATACATAAGGTAAGGAAACAGATATTAAATTTACATAACGACTAAGCCAGGTTATGAAGTCAGTTACATAGCTGCCTAGTTCGTGCACTAGCATAGAACACAAGTGTTGGAATTTGTGAGGTTATTAACAGCAAATCTAGTTCTGTTCTATGACGGTTTCATTCCGGGTTTTATTAATGATGACCCGAGGTAGCATAGCTGGTGGAGGGACTATGCTACAAGCCGGAATGTCGCGGGTTCGAGTCCCGATGAGGTGATTCGTTTTTTTTAATTGACCTAGTCCTTCCAGTCGCACTATGGCCCTGGGGTCGACTCAGCCTATAAGAGAAATGAGTTCCAGGAATCTTCCTGGGGGGGGGGTTAAGGGCGGCCGGCCCGTAAGGCTGACAACCTTACTGCCATGTGTGAGTCGACTGCCTAGAACAGTGTTTCTCAACCGCTAAGCAGCTTCCCGGCACCAGGCCCTCGTCTTATAGAAAAGAATTTAACGGGCCGCGGTCTGACAAAGGTTGAGAACTACTGGTCTAGAAGATGTGGGAGCCTTGACCACTCACACCCCTATGGGTCTTCACGGTCTGTTACAGGAATAGTTTTACCTTTTTTAATTATTACTGTTGACTGAGATACCAGACGATTTATTTATTTTGCGGACCATTTAGAAATTATAAGTTGCTGAGGCTGCAGATCTCGCCGCAAATAATACTTTCTGGACAGTAAACAGCCCAAAATTACCTCAGTCCTATATTCAACATGGGTTGAACTTTTAATATCATTCGGCACTTAAAGACGGCGGCTACTATATCTCCTGTCAACACCGATGAACGGCCAACATATATGTAATTCAAGTAGCTGGCTTTCCAGGGAAACTAAATTCCAAAACGAATTAGAAAATCTAAATTGGACTCATAAACCAGTTATGGATAATCTACAATGTCTGGAGCCGGTTAGCTCCATTAATATTAACTAAGAAGTTTGCTAATTTCTTGTTGTATACTCGCACATTTTCATACAGGCGCAGAGAAAATTCACCAAGTAGCTCAGAGGAGTTGAGCAAATTTACGTTTCCATAACAGTCAATGATGGCAGCATTAACTAGCGCATAGAAGTTTCTACGTAAACATGCAATCCAAGCCCCTCTTGAACTAGATGTGGCAATTTTAACGCCAGAGCACGCCACTATTATAACCGCCCTTTATCTGTACAAGCCACAACGGCCACTTACACGAGAGAGAGTCAATAAATAGATCAACAATGGTTATAAAACGTAACACATGTGATAGTCGGACACGGAAAGAAACATTATTTCTCGATATATCTTTCACCAACATTGATACACTTGTCCCATCGCTTTATCAGTGAGTCGAAACCCGCAACACAGAAGCCTTTTGATTGTTGTCGGCCACTTTTGCACCAATTCGGTCATCATCTGCAATTTTCGAACATCCTTCAGAGAATTTCTCGATCCAGACGTGAATCGCTTTACGGAACAAACACTCCCCAAGGTAAACAGGAAACATTTCTTTATGAACATCTTTTGCATTAAGTCCTTTTGCCCACAAGAAACGCATAACAAAACTCGCCATTTTAAATACTGAAACCAGCCTCTGAACATGCGCATGTGCGTCTGCTACCTAAACTGTCATGAAGCTAAACTGTGCTGCTACCTAGTGATACAAATAGAAAACATATTCCATCCATTACAGCTGAATTGCTTCAACTTGTGACCTATTTACTAACTCTCCCTCCTATTACCTAACCGTGTCCCATGTGCTACGATGACACACGCCATTTTCTTACACGACTAAGGTAGGCCTCACACCAGCATGCGTCAAGACATGTAACAGTCAAGACACGATGTCTGCGACATGACGCAAAGAAAGGAGTACAGTTGAAAGGAATGAGATTATGAAAACCGCTGCACACCGGTCTGAGTCATGATGCTGACGTCAGCTTCATGCTGACGAATCACGAATGATGCAAGACTGCATCTTTTGTCTCATGTTTTGATACTTGTCTTGACGCAGTTGGTGTGCGGCTGCCCTAAAGAAGCATATGCAAAGCACGACAAACAGTGGTAATTATAAATGGAGGTAGAGGTGGGATCTGTTACCCCAAATAACAGCTTTGCCAGTTGGGTGAGAAAATAGTACATGTCACTGTCTTCGGTAGCGATAACTCTTATGTCACAAATGTATGGATGGCAAAGAGTTGGATTTAGAAACTAAACTTAAATGAGGATGTCTTATGACTCTCCTTGATATGCTGGTACCTGGCCTTACGATGGAAAACGAAAGAAGCCAAGGAGATTGTCGCTAAATCTCCATTTAGTATACACTACACACAATGAAATAACATTTATTTTGTTACAACACAGATTTTCTGCCCTTAATAAAAATAACTACTTGTTACGCACTTCAGTCAGGGAATACATAATTTATTATACACGTTCCTGTCTATTCGATAATCACATGATCAATTTCTATTTAAGTTTCATGATCTGTACATGAAGCATTTGGAAGAAAATATTTTTTTAAGAAACATTAAAAATGAAAAGAACACTAGTTACTTATAAACACAATATAATTGTGACATGATTCCAGAAAGCCGGAATAGAGAAGTCAGAGAATAGGCGTTTATTGCTAGGCAACGACACGGTAAACATGTCTTCCCAACAACAGAAGGGCTGTTTTCTGTTTGGTCCGTGCAAAGTTCATTTGAGAGGTCGAGTAGAGTTTCGAGACACCAGCCTGCCGGGACATGAGCTTGGGAGCAGACGAATTAAATTGTGTTTGAAGTTGCAGAATAAGGGAAGCAACGAAACAGGTTGTGAAAAGAAAGCTTCATGTGTGATTTGAAGGGACAAGTGAGACTCTTATAAAATCCGTTGCCAGGATACGGGTAGTGAAAACGGACAATCCTAGTGAGTGTGCAACTGAGAACTGGAGCGTGTATAAATCAGCGTTAGAGCTGTATTAATTGTAATTAAGAGAGAGAGAGTGTAAACGAAGTGTCAATAAATCCAATCATCCGAACTAGAACCCGTTATTTTCGTCACGCGTACCACGTTACACGTGAAAATATATACACGTAAATAGAATGCAGGGAGTAGAAATGAGATTTTCGGCCCATAATGGGACGCCGGCTCTCCGTAGCAAGGAAGACATCTGATTGCTGCGCAAGTACAGCCACATTTTCATCCTACGAAATAAGACTTGCAACGCTGAGTCAGTTGTGTCAGCCTGTTTACGGTTGATCATAGTGATTCATAAAAACCGCAATATCTTGGGAATATTTTGAGTGTGCATTTAGTGTATCTTCAAGATTCTGAATTTCTCCATAACTTCCTTACTTACACATGGAGCTGAACCCTTCTGGAGGAGCTGCCAATTCTGCAGCTACTCAAAAATTTCCCAGAATTTTATGGAACCCGAAGGTTCATTACCGTGTTCACAAGAGCCCTCCACTGGTCCATATCCTGAGCCAGATCAATCCAATCAATACCATCCCATCCTATCTCTCTAAGATCCATTTTAATATTGTCCACCCACCTACGCCTTGGTCTTCCCAGTGGTCTCTTTCCTTCTGGCTTTCCCATCAATATCCTATATGCATTCCTCTTCTCCCCATTCGTGCTACATGCTCTGATAACCTCATCTTCCTTGAGTTGATCATTCTAATTATACTTGGAGAAGAGTACAAGTTATGAAGCTCCTCATTATGCAGTTTCCTCAAACCTCCTGTCACTTCATCTCTCTTCGGTCCAAATATTCTCAACACCCTGTTCTCAAACACCCTCAGTCTATGTTCCTCCCTCAATGTCAGAGACTAAGTTTCACACCCACACAGAACCACACTTCCTACTTCTGCAAAAAAAAAAAAAAAGAGAGACATATTGTATCCACTGAGATTTC